ATCACAGCACAGCGCTGTAGAGAGTCACTAACGCCCACTTTTTTGGCGCGAATCAAGACACCTCCAACGGCTAGCAGCCAACATGGTAACCCAGAGAGAGAAAGAGAGGGTAGCAAAAAACCTCTCCAGAGCTGATATCACTAGTAACTCACGAGCGCTCGTAGTCCCAGAGAGATTTTTTCCGCAGGTAGCCCAGCCGTTCCAGCACCATGAGTTCCAACCCAGTATTCCCGACGTTTAAACCAGACGAAGAGAAGTGGGAATCGTATAAGAACCGTTTCAATCATTACATCGATGCGGTCGGCCTGGCGGATGCGGGAGAGCATCGGAAAAAATCCTATTTCCTAATCTACTGCGGAGCCACCGTTTACGATACCGCCGCAGCACTCGTAGCGCCGAGAGAATTGAAAAACGTTCCGTGGTCCGAGTTGCTTGAGATCCTCACTAACCACTACGCTCCCAGGCCTTCACAAATCGCCAGGAGGTTCACGTTCCGTATGAGGAAGCAATCAAGTAAGGAGACCATCAATCAATATATGGCCGCCCTCAGAACAGCAGCCCTGCACTGCGGGTTTGGAACATACCTGGAGGACATGCTCCTCGATCAATTAGTTTGTGGGGTCAAGGATCTCAACCTACAGAGGCGCCTGCTAGCTAAAAAAGACCTCAACCTCGCGCAAGCGGTAGAGGAGGCCCTAGCAGCCGAGCTAGCAACGAACTCAGCCACCGAAATTCAGGGCCCAAGTGCCAAGCTAGCATCGTTCCCAGTCCATTCCGAAGAGGTGGAAGCGGAGGAAACCCACAACGATGAGAACGATGTCCACCGCCTCACCAATGACAGACGGTCGCAGGTAGGGGCCAAACAAGAATACACCGGTCCACCCAAGCACATCACACTGTGCCTAGCCTGTGGGGGATCACATCAAAGGGCCACCTGCAAGTTTAAAGGAGCCGTTTGCAACAACTGCCATAAGAGGGGGCACATTGCGAGAGTCTGCCAAGCCCCCCAAAGCGCTGCACACAGACCCCCGTCCTCGCACTCGGGACCACAGAGGCAAGTATTAAACTGTCGCACGCACCGCCTTGCCAGGCGTACTTGCCACACTGTTAGTAAAATTTCTCTCTCCGTTTCCCTAGAAGGTAAACTGTGCCTCATGGAGGTTGACACAGGGTCAGCGCTCTCAATAATCTCGTGGAACACCCTCAAGAGACTCCACCCCAGCCTATCTACTACCCGGCTTCAGAGATGCCAGTTCGGTCTGAAGGACTACCAGGGGAAGGCCATTCCCGTGATCGGCAGAGGCAAGTTCTTTGTCAGTTTTAGAGCTTTTAAAGGCCACCTACCTCTAGTGGTAGTTAACGGCAATCTACCCACCTTATTGGGGCTCGATTGGTTTCCCCACCTCGGCCTAGGGTTAACAGGAGTCCATGCTGTCTCAACCTCAGACACTGACTCCTTATTCGCTGACTACGCAGATGTGTTCAGCGAGGAGCTGGGGTGTTATAATGGAACCCCCATCTCATTCATCGTTGACCCCCAGGCAGTCCCAATCAGATTAAAACCACGTAGAGTTCCATTTGCTATTCGACCAAAACTAGACGCTGAATTGGATAAACTACTAAAACAAGGGGTCATTGAGCCAACAGATTTCGCCAAGTGGGAGACGCCCATTGTCACACCCCTCAAAAAAGATGGTAGCCTGAGAATTTGCTCGGACTACAAGACAACAATCAATAAATATTTACAAGTTAGCGCCTACCCTGTGCCCGTCATTCAGCATTTATTGCACACTTTCGAACCGGGCAGTATTTTTGCTAAATTGGACATGTCTCAAGCATATCAACAGTTCCCTGTTGATAACCAAACAGCGGAACTTCAGACCATCATCACTCACAGGGGTGCCTTCTGATGCAAGCGTCTCCAATTTGGCGTAAGTGTTGCCCCGGGTATTTTTCAGTCCCTCATGGAGCGGATTTTACAGGGCCTCCCTGGTGTAGTACCCTACTTCGACAACATCTTGGTCTCGGCCAGGGACAGACCCCAACTCTTCCAGAGAGTGCGAGCAGTGTTAGAGAGGTTCAGACAGCATGGCCTCAAGTTAAAAAAAGAAAAATGCGCCATTGCCACTAGACAGGTGGACTTTCTGGGTTATAAAATTGACGCCTCTGGCATTCACCCCCTGGAGTCCAAGGTCAGGGCGATCCACGAAGCTCCCACACCGACCTCCAAAACGGAGCTACAAGCTTTCTTGGGACTCCTAAACTTTTATGCATCCTTTTTGCCCCATAAAGCCTCAGTAGCCGAACCCCTACACAGATTACTAGACAAAAAGTCACCGTGGCACTGGGGGCACAAAGAAGACCAAGCGTTTAACGCCGTCAAATCACTACTTACGTCAGAGGCAGTGCTCATCCAATTCGACCCCAACCTTCCTTTAGTACTGGCAGCAGACGCATCCCCTTTTGGAATTGGGGCGGTCCTTAGTCACCGACTCGCCAATGGCGCCGAGGCCCCCATCGCCTTTTTCTCCAGGACGCTCTCGGCCACGGAGCGAAATTACAGCCAAATAGACAAGGAAGCCCTAGCAGCTGTTGCAGCCGTGAAAAAGTTTCACGAATTCCTTTTTGGCCACTTCTTCGAACTGGTCACCGACCATAAGCCCCTCCTGGGCCTACTGGCCGGCGACAAACAAACACCTCAAGTCCTCTCCCCTAGGATGACAAGGTGGACACTTTTCCTAGCGGCCTACTCATACAAACTTATCCACCGCCCGGGCAAAACTCTATCCCACGCTGACGCTCTCAGTCGCTGCCCCTTACCCGCTCCGGCTGAAGACCCAGCTCCTGTCAATGCCATTTTTGAAATCACCCAGTTGGACCTGCCCATCACCGCCCTTGACATCGCCGCCAAAACCAAGGCAGACCAAACGCTCGCCCAGGTGCTCGACTGGGTGAGGAGGGGGTGGCCGGGAGGCAACGTTGATAACAAATTCGCACCCTTTAAGACTCGCATGCAGGAGCTGTCCAGTTTGCAGGGTTGTCTACTGTGGGGCACTCGAGTGGTCATTCCGACCTCGCTGCGTACCCGAGTCCTGGAGGCGTTGCACGAGGGACACCCCGGCATTGTGAGAATGAAGGCATTAGCACGCAGCTACGTGTGGTGGCCGGGTCTAGACGAGGACATTGTCAATTGGGTAAGTTCCTGCAGCATTTGCCAGGAATCCCGTCCTGCTCCCCCCATCGCCACCCCTACCAGATGGGAGAGCGCCAGCGCCCCTTGGTCTAGAATCCATATCGATCTGGCCGGCCCCGTGCATGGAAAGATGTTCCTAGTGGTCGTGGACGCTTATTCCAAATGGATAGACGTGGCACAGCTATCCACGACCACCACACTAGCAATCACCAATGTGTTAACGCGCCTGTTCGTTACACATGGACTACCCGACTCCTTGGTCTCCGATAATGGCCCACAGTTCGCATCAGTAGAATTCAGCCGTTTTGAAGCCAACCTAGGCATTCGCCACATTTTCACAGCCCCATTTCACCCTGCGAGTAATGGGTTGGCTGAAAGGGCCGTCAGGACCACCAAAGAGGCCCTCGCTAGGTTTGGCAGAGATGACTGGCACCACAAACTCTCACGGTTCCTGATGAGCCAGCACTCAACCCCCTGTGCAGTCACCAATAAGTCCCCAGCGGAACTTCTGATGGGCCGGCGCCTGAGGACTGTATTAGATAGACTGCACCCACAATACTGCCCTGACTCTCCCCTCGCTTCCACTTCGGGGGTTAGACATTTTATGTTACAGGAGCCGATATTCGCAAGGAATTTCGCTGGGGACCCACTTTGGATTCCGGGCGAGGTCATCGCCGTCACCGGGCCGAGATCGTATAGAGTCAGGCTGGAGGATGGTCGCGTCTGGAGGAGACACATAGACCAACTCAGAAGGCGCCTCAGCAACCTCGCAAACAAGAATCCAGAGTCTCCAGTCGAAGGGGAACCGTCTCATCCGCCGCCCAGCCACACCGCACCCAGCGACCAGTCTGCGCCAGCGGTCGTTCCGGTCAGCCCAAACTCGGACAACAGCGCCCAGAGAGTTGACCAACCTGATCCAACCCATGAGAGCTCGACCCCAGTAACCAACCCGGTGGTTTCCGAGGATGCCCAGTCCAGAGAGAGTGTTGGCGACACTATGCCGGCTCAACCGTCACAGACTGATACCGAACAGACAGACAATGTTCCCGAGTTGCGCCGCTCCGGGCACCAACACAAACCCCCCGTCTACCTCAAGGACTATGCGTGTTCGCATCTGGGGGGAAGAGGTGTTATGTCCTGAGGACTCAAGGAGTTCTCACTCAGGTCCACTCACTTTGTGTGGGCGATATTCCCCCATTCCCATTGGTTGGTTCTCCCCAGCAGCCAGCTATAAAAGCAGGCTGCGGGGTCCAACTGGTTGCTGATTGCTGCGAGCCAGTTCCAGGCTTGGCAAGCACGGTCAGCCCTTTATTTGTAAAATAAAGTACTGTTGCACTCATGCTCTGGTTCAGCCTCTCATTGCTCAAACTTAACAGGTTGCAGCCCACGTACGACCACAACTGAGCCATAAAATTTCTGCGGCTTAGCTGGACATTTGCAAAGTGAGTTTTTGCCCCCCTTTTATGACATTTCTTGCTGCGATTGTTATAAAGGAGCCACAGCAACCATTACATTAGCAACACGGTTTTTAAAAGCGAATCTGGCTTCCTCGTTGGCTTTGCTGGTCAGAAGGTCACAAAAGAGAATCACTTTTTCAGCATCATTGTAAATGTGAACAGTCGCTGAATGAATGGTTCTAAGTCAAGGACCACCTGTAAAGTAATTATGGTTTATGGGGAAACCTGGTTTTGAAGGACACCACACCTTTTGCAACAACCAAAATAACCACAAGTCGTATTTTATTATTATTATTATTTTTCTCCTTGCCTTAAAAGCTATTCCATCTCTCTTATCTTTCTGTTTTCAGTCCGGGCAGCCTTTTAAATTCTCAGTGTTGGAGATTTGTGACCGAATTAAGGAAGAATTCCAGTTCCTCCAGGCTCAGTATCACAGGTATGGAAAAGAAGAGGTGGGGAAAAAAAAAAAAGATGATTAATGTTCTTAATTCTGATAACTAAGTCGAACCTCCACACCCAGGGGCAGTATATCCCACAATACTGCACAGCCTTGAAAACTTCAGAAATCTCTCTGTTGCTTTTTCTCCCTGGTTGCTTTTTTTCCTCCCTGTCAACCATGGTGCAGAATTGTTTACACATCACGTTAAGCCAGTTGCACAGGGGCAGACAGGACAGCACTCCAGAGGGTTAACGTCATTGCCCAGAGATCATGGGTTGCCCTCTCCCCTCTTTGGAAGAGCTTTATAGCTCCCGCTGCCTTAAAAAAGTTCAAAACGTTCTCAAAAATCCATCTCATCCTGGACACCCCCCCACTTTTTTAAAAAAATCGTTACCATCTGGCAGACGGTACCGTATAATAAAAGCTAGGACAAATAGGCTGAAGAACATTTTCTATCCCAGGGCAGTAGCTCTGTTGAATTCTACCATATAGTGCAATATGAAGGCAATATCAGGGGTTTTCAATTCAATGTATAGAATGTGAAGGATGTGTGTTTGTGTTTATTTTCATAGTCATAATGTACACTGAAGAGAGTATTTAATTTTCGTTGTAGGAGATGCAGCGACAAACTAAACTTAACCTAAACTAAACCTAAACTAAACCTAAACTAAACCTAAACTAAACCTAAACTAAACCTAAACTAAACCTAAACTAAACCTAAACTAAACCTAAACTAAACCTAAACTAAGCTGTGGTTTATTTAAGCTCAATTTATAGAGTAATGGCTGGATTTACCCAATGTGCTGTACCAGAAAACCACATTGTGCTAAGTTGCATTGTGTGAACTAAAATCTGGGCCATTTTTCTGCTTTCCCTTCCCTTTTCCTTTAAAAATAAAGAAAAAAAGGCATTCCCTAGAAAAGGAAAGCAACCAATAAATCAATTTATTTTAGATTCACACACACACACACACACACACACACACAGAGTCCATTACAGCCCCTGAGTGAGGAAGCCATGGAAAAAGGGAAGGAGTTTGGAGGAAGTGGCAATGATGGTTTTGAAGAGAGAGTTTGGCAGAACAAAAAGTGAACGTGTCCCTTGTCTGAAATGGTATTGGACAGGGAGTGTCAAACTCAAGGTCTGTGGGCCGGATCCAGCCTGGGGATCCAGCCTTAGATCTGGCTTGTGTGGCCACCCTGGAAACAGCAAAGTACCGGCCTGCAGTGCCTCTGCCAGCGGCCCCCACTCCCTGAGCTCTGTTTTCACTTACAGAGGGCTATCCAAACAAACTAAAAAGCAAAAGGAGAAATGTTTCACCTTTTACATTTGATCAGGCAAGAATGGACAGGAAAGGAGAAAAGGAAAGAGGAAAGGCAAAAGAAAAAGAAGGGAAGATGGGGAGAGAGCAAGGAAGGTAAAAGAAGGAAAGAAAGGAAAGAAGAAGAAAGGGGAAGGAAGAGAGAAAGTAAAAGGAGAAAAGGAAGGAAAGAAGAAAGGGAAAGAGGAGAGATGAAGAAAAAGAAAGGAAGATGGGGGAGAGCAAGGAAGGAAAAAGGAAAGAAGGGAAGGAAGAAGAAAGGGGAAGGAAAAGAGAAGGAAAGAAGGAAAGAAGAAAGGGAAAGGAAAGATGAAGAAAAAGAAAGGAAGATGGGGAGAGAGCAAGGAAGGAAAAAGAAAAAAGGGGAAGCAAGAAGAAAGAATGAAGAGGGAAGGAAAAAAGAGAAAGGGGAAGGAAGGAAGGAAGGAAGGAGGGAAGGAAGGAGATTATAATGAGAGTGAGTGAGGGTCTGAGGGAAGCCCCACCTTAGCCCTTGGCCATTACAGGTGCCCCCAACATGAGTGACGTCGAGCTGGCCACGCCCACCATGGCCACACCCACCCCGCCCCCCAAGGTCAAACAGAACCCTGATGTAGCCCTCAATGAAATCGAGTTTGACACCCCTGGTATAGGATCTCTGCTTAAGATATGAATTGAAAATGGATAAAATAAGTCTGGAAAATATAAGAATATTTGTGAAAATGTGCAGAAAGTGGAAAATGGAATGATAAGAAACTGGATATGAAAGATAAATATGTAATTATGGTCATGTTTGTATGGAAATGTAAAAATCTGAAACCAGATTGTTCACCAAAAGAGAATATCTGTAAAAGATAAAAATAAAAACTTGGTAGGAAAAAAAATTGTGCAGGGGGCTGGACTAGAAGACCTCCAAGGTCCCTTCCAGCTTTATTCTGATTCTGAATTCTGAATCATATTCCACCCCGCTTTTTTTTTTTTGCAGCCTGAAGTTGGAATGTGAGAAATTAGCAACCGAAAAAACAGAGATGCAGAGGCATTATGTTATGGTAAGTCTTAGTAATAATATAAATAATAACCATAATACTTTTTTAGCAAGAAGTTAATGGCTTTACAAAATACAGGTAATCCTTGACGTATAACAGTTTCATTTAGTGACTGTTTGAAGTTACAACGGCACTGAAAAATGGGATTTATGACCATTTTTCCGACATACGACCGTTGGTTGGAATTGAGCCCAAAATGTCTTTTGCTGCGTGAGACATTTGCCAAGTGAGTTTTGCCTCGTTATACGAACTTTCTTGCCAATGTTGTTAGGTGAATTGCTGAAGTTGTTAGGTTAATAACAAGGTGGCTAAGTGAATCAGGCTTCTCCACTGAATTTGCAAAAGGTCGCAAAAGGCCTCAGGACACGGCAACCGTCATAACTATGATCTGAATTTTGATCATGTGGCCCTGGGGACGCTGCAACGGTCGTAAGTGTGAAAAACGGTCATTCGGGCACTTTTTTTCAGCGCCACTGTTTACTTCAAACAGTCACTAAATAAACTGTTGTAAGTTGAGGACTTCCGATACATGGTTGCTAAATTGTTGAACGCAGAGGTGATATTCAGCAAGTCCTGACCAATTCTGGAGAACCGATACTGGAAATTTTGAGTAGTTCAAAGAACTGGTAAATCCCACTTCTGACTGGCCCCGCCAACCCCATCTATTCTCCGCCTCCCATTGAGTCCCAGCTGATCGGCTGGGTCTCCTTTGGTTGCCCTGCACAGGAGAATGGAGCTGGAAAGCAGGTTAGTGGGGTGGGGAGGGAAGGGGGATTTTGCAGTGACCTTTCCCTTCCCCTGCCACGCCCACCAAGCCACGCCCACAGGACCAGTAATAAAAAATTTTGAATCCCACCACTGGTCAAACCCCAATTTGGTGGCATATAATCAAATCCTGGCCCAAATGGTTCTTTTTTTATATTTTTTTAAAATAATATGTATTTACCTATTGTCGGCTGCTTGGGATTTCTATGTGCTTCTTGCATGGAACTGTGGCCGCATAGCAATCAGAGACCGAATGTCAGGAATTGGGGCACGATCCTGAGAGGAAACTAATCAGAGGGTGGGATTCTACCAGTTCAAACCAGTTCGGACGAACCGGATGTTAAAAGTTACATCTGGTTTGCCGAACCTGTAGTTGAACTAACTGGCTGTTCCAGTAGGCCCCGCCCACCCAGCCACCGGGCAGCGAACCGGTTGCTGGGATTCTTGGAATGTTACCCCTGAAACGAATGTTTTATCGTGGCCAAATCATGGGATTTTGCAGAATTTTGAGATAAACAGCCTGTCCAACTGGCACTTCTCCTTCTTTTTCAGTATTACGAGATGTCCTATGGCCTGAATATTGAAATGCACAAACAGGTGGGCCTTCCTGGGAATCGCGAAAAGGAGCAGGTTTGGGAAGGAAATTCAGATTCGGATATGCAAAGGCAGAAGCTGCCCCGTTGGGCGTAGTGGGTGTAACTTTGTTAATTGGGATGATGCCAAGGGTCTAGGTTGCAGTTTGCCTTCCAGGTTGGTTGCCAGGTTGGCAAATGTATAGGCTGAGTTCATGCAGAGGGATTAACCCCCCTGGTCCATTCACACCACAAAGCTAAGTGTAGTGTTGTGTGAAAGCAGCCAAGTTGTTTAAAACGTATGAAAGAATGGGACTTTCTGAAGGGAATACTTTGTAGACTTCCCTACTTCCCTCCATTCCATTTCCTTCCTTCCTTCCTTCCTTCCTTCCTTCCTTCCTTCCTTCCTTCCTTCCTTCTCTCCCTGTTTTCCTCCCTCCCTCCTCCCTCCTTCCTTTTTCCTTTCCCCCTCCTCCCTATTTTCCTTCCCTCATTCCTTCCTTCCCCCTCTCTCCTTCCCTGTTTTCTCCCTCCCTCCCTCCTTCTCTTACTCCCTCCCTCCCTCTTTTTTTTCTGCCTTTTTCCTTTCTCCTTCCCTCCTTCTCTCCATCCCTCCCTCCCTCCCTGTTTTCCTCCCTCCCTCCTTCCTTTTTCCTTTCCCCCTCCTCCCTATTTTCCCTCCCTCATTCCTTCCTTCCTCCTCTCTCCCTCCCTCTTTTCTCCCTCCCTCTTTTCTGCCTTTTTCCTTTCTCCTTCCTCCCTATTTTCCTCCCTCCCTCTCTCCTTCCCTGTTTTTCTCCCTCCCTCCTCCTCTCTTTCTTCTTTTCTCCCTCCTCCTTTTTCCTTCCCCCTCATTCCTTCTTCCCTCTCTCCCTCCCTCCTTTCCTTGAAGAGAAAATTTGAGCAGAGAGAGCCGTTGAGGTTTCTTCTTTCTCTTTTCCTTTAGGCTGAGATTGTCAAGCGGCTGACTGCGATCTGTGCCCAGATTACCCCGTTTCTCACACAAGAGGTATAAATGAATGAATGAATGAATGAATAGTGCCAGGATTCCGGCAGTTACCCCCAAATTAAATCATGAGTCTCGAGCCAAACTTCCAAAACTTCCAAAGGATTTATTGAGAGTTAAAATGTCTGCCTGGGTGTAGCCGACTCTGAGATACATCATTCATTGTCACCCTTGACCCTGGTTTCCCCCCCCACCCCTCTGGGTGTATCGTAATTCATATCCTCCAACGGGACACATCCATAGCCCGGAGTCATCAATCATGCTCTCCAGTTAGATATTTGTGCGGCAGGAACTTCCATCCCCTAGTTACTATCTTTGAAAAACCATGTATGGCGTTCACTTTCGATTTCCAAGCCGCTGCACTGCTCTTTCAAACCCCTTCCCCCGCCCACCTTTCTGTTGGCAACCCTAAAAAGACCATAGAAATATTTGATGAGTTGACAAATAGCAGGCAAGAAAAAAAAAGTGAACAATTGTAAAATTGAGGACTACCTGTAATCCGTCTTTCCCATGGGTGGCAAGTAGACTCTTGCATCGCTTGTAAGGGCGGGCCTTGGCTGGCCTGGGGCCAGCTGTTTCCAAAGTGCGCTGACTCTGTTTTCCTTGGCCCCCAGCATCAACAGCAGGTCTTGCAAGCCATGGACCGGGCCAAACTGGTGACCATGGGCGAGCTGAACAACATCATTGGGGTGAGTGAGTGTGGCCAGGGCCAAGCAGCCTCCTTGGACTTTTTTTTTTTTTCACGAACGATTGACCACAGCTGTGGTTCTCTATCCCGCCAGCGTTAAGAGGGGTGGACTTCAACTCCCAGAATTCTCTGGACTTGCCACAAAGTGAAAGGAAGGAAGGCAGGGACGGAGGGAGGGAGGGAGGGAGGAAGAGGCAGGCAGGCAGAAGAGGGGGAAGAGAGGAGGGAGGGAGGAGGAAGGGAAGCAAGGAAGGAAAGAGGGGGAGGGAGGGAGGGGGAGGAAGAGAAGGGAGGGAGGGAGGAAGGAAGGGAGGAGAAGGAAGGAAGGTGAGGGGGAAGGAAGGAAGGAGAGAAGAGATGGGAGAAAGGAAAGAAGGAGGTAGAAGAGGAAGGAAGCACGTAAGGAAGGAATGGAAAAAGGAGAACAGAAGAAAAGAGAAGAAGAGAAAGGAGTGGTAATAGAGGAGGAAGGAAGGAGAGAGGAAGGGAGGGAGGAAGAGAGGGGAGGAAGGAAAGAGAAGGAGTAGAGAAGAAGGAGGGAGGGGAGGAAGGAAGGAAGAACGGGAAGGAAAGAAGGAAAGAGAGGGGAGAGAAAGGAAGGAGGAAAAGGAAAGGGAGGAGAGAGGAAGGGAAGAAGAAGGAGAAAGAACAGAAGAAAAGAAGGGTAAGAGAAGAAAGGAAGAGAAGAGAAAGAAGAGGTAGCAGGTAGAAGAGGAAGGAAGGAAGGAAGGAAGGAAGGAAGGAAGGAAGGAA